GGTTCCAGAATAAGTGACTTTTACTGGCAAAATTAAGCGTGCCACTTTGATTTTGGTGGCCTGGGTCATGTTCGGTCTTTAATCATTTTCAATTTGTTTTTTAACGAGAAACTTTGGAAAAACGGAAATTGCTGTTGAATGATGCAAGCATAACCAATCTACTAATCCTAACGCTTTCTCAGGGAACAAATGTTAAGAGTTGGCTCTTCGAATTAGAAATGGGTGCAGTCAGATATAGTTTTAAAGAAAGAACAAGAATATTATAATATCGTATGTCGCGGCTAAAGTGTATTCGCCGGAGAGCGAGCAAAACCGTACGTTTTATGCTTCAGGCCAATGAAGGGCTTTTACACGAACGAAGACAATAATCCGACACTTTCAGCTCTCTGTCTATTTACAATGATGAAATTCAGTCATGCAACCTGGGCACATATGGACAAACGCAGGTACACACACACAGACATGGTTCCGCCAAATTGTCAATTTTTTTTTACACTAACGATGCGAAAATGCTTAATTTGAGTTATTGATCATCACACTGAGATTCGATCTAACACGGCAAAAACTTTTCGAGGAAACACTTATGATTACTTTGAAGTCCAGCAGCATATACAGTGTCAAGGCGTCATAAAGCAGTGATAATTTAAAAAGGATAATAAAGACTTTTCGGCGAACAAAATAAAACAATGCCAATGTGGTCCATCCAAGCTTTTTGGAAAAAACACTTTAAGCAGCTATAGTTGATTGGCGTCGAGGCTTGTATGCACCCGTTATTCTGCGTTTCCAGAGGAGTTAGTTTCTCGGCGATATTTTTTAGTGAACGACTGTTCCAGTGAACGAAGTTGCAGACATTTTTTTTTTCAAGCGATTCTTAGAGAATAATTAAACTTGATATATATTTATATACATATATATTGATTCATAAAAGTGGACTTTTACCTTGCCTTGTGGCGCAGCTGGAGCGCGAACAGGAGCAGGGGCACCAACAGCGTTAACTTTCTTGTCAGCACCGAATATGTCGCCACCAATGCCGGCCAACGTCTACAGTGAATTTTCTTTTTTGAAAATTGAGATGTCCGAAAAAATTAACATATAGTAAAGTACCAATTTTGTGTCAGCTTTGTATGATTTAACCAAAATTTTGCCTGATAGTTAGGATCGAATGTTTGCGCCATACCGCCGGGACGCGCCGGCGCTTTCACCGCAGGTACTGCTGCGGGTGCTTTATCTGCGCCAAAAATGTCGCCACCTATGCCAGCGAGAGTCTGTAAATTATCACATATTTTAATAATCTATAAAAACTTAATACAAATGCAAAATTAATTTTAAAGAGAAGACTGATTGCTTTGTCTGCAACTTAATAACTGAGGATGAAATAAGTTTTTAATAAAATTAACAAATAATTTTTTTATTTGCGAGACTTCAAATACAGGCAAAGAAAACTTTTTATAACCTGGTAGTTTGGATCGTGTGTGCCAACCATGCCACCCTGCCCAGGTGGTCTTGGTGGACCCAGTACGGCACCACCACCGCCACCTGCTGCTGCTTTATCGGCACCGAATATGTCTCCACCAAGACCGGCAAGAGTCTGAAAAGTACCTAGTGCATCAATTCTATAGCAGAAACTCTCAGAAAAGAGTTTTATTTCATTTAAAAAAGATGGTATTAAGAAGGTCAAAGAAAGAAGGTCAAAGAAGAAAAAAGGTCAAAGAAATATTCAGAATTAAAATAATCGAAAAAAAATCCTTTTAAAACTGTTTTTACATCAGTTACAAATTCGTCAACTAAAATGATGGCAAAAATGATGGTTTGATAAATCGGTTTTGAAAGAAGGATGTAGAAATCAAAATAACTTGTTTTGCTATTCGCAGGCACCTCGCTGACATTTCGCATGGAGGGAGCTGCTTATCTAACCCTTGCGACCAGTTAGTGAAGCAACTGTGATGTCGAAAATACTCGGAAATTTTATATGTTTAGGTGCTGGAAATATAAGTTACGGTTTGCCGAATTTGATGCTGGATCTATTTTTACATCTTTTTTTGACAGAGCAGTTGCTAGGCTGACAGACGCACTTCTGAGGAACGAGTTCGCATGCGGCTTAGCCTCTGATTAAAACTGTGCTTGACAGAAAGCTTTACTTGGTATGTTGATTTGCAAGATTCAAACTGTATTACTCAATAATATCTCCACTAATGTAACAAATGTTCTCTCCAGGAAGATTAGCTTGATGTATAGCTTTTCGTCGCAGTTGTTCTTTGTTAGTTTAAAGTCATATGGTTGCTGTGTTCACCGTATCTGCTCGGTCTAGTTTAACTTCATTTGTCCTCGATCTATTATTTTCTTTATTCTGTATTCTATTTTTGTAGTAGGCTGGGCTAATCGGTTATATATATATATATA